TCCGGCCAATTGAACAAATATTATTGTTGTCCGACTTTTTTCATCAAAACTCGATGGAACTGCGAATATCAATCGGAAAATAGCGATTCCAAATAATCAATGTCAATGTCAAAATTGACAACCGATATGTCTTAAATCTATCAATTGTTACAGTAAATTAAGCAATATGCAAAATTAAACTAATATTTTTATGTTTTCTTACTAAGTTATTATATAAAAAATATGAATTTTGGAGATAAAAAATATAAAAAATTCAAAATTTCAAAGAAAAATCCATAAACGTAAATTATTATAGGCTTTATTTCTACATACTTTTATAAATTAAATACTAAAAATTTGCATTGCTAAAGTTGAAAGAAAATAAATAAAGTGAAAAAATATGCGAATATTGTTCTATGTATATAAACATAATCTTGCATTTTTCTTTCGTACGGTAAAGCAGAAGCAAAATGCATATCAGAAATGATTTATTGCATTTCTCTGGCTCTTTGCAAATACCGCATTTGCAGTTGAAACAGAAAGTTTCGCAATTTAATATACCTGCGTTTGCGACGTTCCGGACGACAGACGGATTTTCATTAATTCTTGGGGGCAATAATAGCGGAATAGATCAAACGAAAAGTGACAGATGGTTTTCAATAAACTGAGGAAAATCAGGTATAACGTTCATTTTAAATGAAACTACCGAAATTATTATTATTACAAAGTATTAATTTTACTTAACTTTTTCTTATAGCTTTATATTAACTTTCAACGGTAAATAACAAAGTCATTTTCTGGTTGCTCGTTTTTTGGGGCTCAAAGTTGGATAAACAATTTGCAGACCACAAAATCCCAAGGCTATTTTAGACTTATTCACTCTCTCTCATCATCGTTTCTCACTCTCTTTCTCTCTATTGCCTTGCGAAATTCTGTTTGACGAATATCAAATGGACTGAGCATCATTGATTGCGTTCCAGCAATTAATCAAAGTCTCTGACGAAGCTCCGCCGTCCCACAGGGACATAATGGAATTTCCTGGGAGACTCAATTGATTTAACCAATTTACGTAACATGCAGTTCCTTCCTTCCGACTGCACGACTCGAGAAAAAGAATTTAATTTGCTTAAAGAGACGCGCGAGTAAGATACTTTCACAGTCACAGTTATATATGACATACAGCAAAAAAAAAAGGGAGTTGAAGTGAAGGATAATTGCAGAATTTGCTTTTGATGTGCATGTTTGCTTGGAACGACGAATCTATTTAGTTTTAATTAATCGCGACGACAGGACAACATAGGAAGTTTCCTTGCTGCGGCATTCCCATTTAAATGAAATACTGGAATATTGCAAATTTCACAATCTTCAACTGTGATCACATTAAAACACAAAGTAATTCTTAATTACTAACGTTTAAGAAAGAAACATTTATTACCTTTTAACGTTTAATTGAAAATTACGGAGGAATTTCCATTTGATATAAAACAAATTATAAACTTATTTCATTTAATTCACAAAATTATCCTTGAGTTTAACTGAAATTTAAATTTTAAATTAATTTAAGTGATTTTTTAGTAATAAGAAAAATGTTATTTACGTGAAATGAATAATTAAAACTAATTACTAATACTAAATAAACTAAATAATTTGTTTTCAATTCATGAAATTTTCTTTGATTGCATTTGCAACTTAGTTTATGAATGAACGTCGTTTCGCGAAAAGAGGAATTCCACAACTGACCCACATTCGTCAATCACTCTGATATAGTAGGGAAATTCTCTGCATATTTACATGTCACCACGTCCCATTCACTTAGCCGTAAATCCATCACCCATTTCCGCATTAAATGTTAACTACTATGTAGAACATACTCATAATTAACCTTACTGAAATTCATTAGATTTTACAATCATTTTCACTGTAAAATCTCAAATACTATTCAATTAGTTTCGTTTTATGAAAATTATGATAAAACAAAGTAATTAAAGTTATATGAAACAGTAGAAAGGAAAAGTATTTTGTAAGTATTTAAGTTATTTTCTTATAGACTTTCTCAAATTTATTGTATTTTACAAGTACTTTCATAAATTTCAAATACTTTTCAATTATTTTCACTTTATGAAAATTGTGATTTTAAAAAAGTAATTAAATTTATATGAAACAGTAGAATTAAAAAAAGTATTGAATTTAGTCAAGTTTCAATTATTTTCTTATAGAATTTGAAACAAATGACTCTTATAATTAATCTTACTGAATTTCATTAGATTTTACAATTATTATCATTGTAAAATCCTGAATACTCTTCAATTAGTTTCGTTTTATGAAAATTATGATTAAAAAAAATTAATTAAAGTTATATGAAACAGTAGAAAGGAAAAATATTTTGTAAAACTTTGAATTTAGTCAACTTTATGTTATTTTCTTAGAGACTTTCTCAAATTTATTGGATTTTACAAGTATTTTCATTAATTTCAAATACTTTTCAATTGGTTTCACTTTATGAAAATTGTGATTTATAAAAAAGTAATTAAATTTATATGAAACAGTAGAATTAAAAAAAAATGTATTGAATTTAGTCAAGTTCCAATGATTTTCTTATAGACTTTGAAACAAATTACACTTATTCATTAGATTTTATAATTATTGTCACTGTAAAATCTCAAACACTCTTCAATTAGTTTCGTTTTATGAAAATTATGATTAAAACAAAGTAATTAAAGTAGAAACGAAAAGTATTTTGTAAATCTTTGAATTTAGTCAACTTTAAGTTATTTTCTTAAGACTTTCTCAAATTTATTGGATTTTACAAGTATTTTCATAAATTTCAAATACTTTTCAATTAGTTTCACTTTAAGAAAATTGTGATTTATAAAAAAGTAATTAAATTTATATGAAACAGTAGAATTAAAAAAAAAAGTATTGAATTTAGTCAAGTTTCAATGATTTTCTTATAGACTTTCAAATGAATCTCACTTAAAATTTACCTTAACTGAAATTCATTAAATTTTACAATTATTTTCATTGTAAAATCCCAAATACTCTTCAATTAGTTTCACTTTATGAAAATTGTGATTTTAAAAAAGTAATTAAATTTATATGAAACAGTAGAATTAAAAAAAATGTATTGAATTTAGTCAAGTTTCAATGATTTTCTTATAGACTTTGAAACGAATCACACTTATAATTAAACTTACTGAAATTCATTATATTGTACAATTATTTTCATAAATTCCAAATACTTTTCAATTAGTTTCACTTTATGAAAATTGTGATTTTAAAAAAGTAATTAAATTTATATGAAACAGTAGAATTAAAAAAAAATGTATTGAATTTAGTCAAGTTTCAGTGATTTTCTTATAGACTTTGAAACGAATCTCACTCATAATTAACCTTACTGAAATTCATTAGATTTTACAATCATTTTCACTATAAAATCTCAAACACTCTTCAATTAGTTTCGTTTTATGAAAATTATGGTTAAAACAAATTAATTAAAGTTATACAAAACAGTAGCAAGGACAAGTATCTTGTAAAATTTTGAATTTAGTCAACTTTAAGTTATAGACTTTCTCAAATTTATTGGATTTTACAAGTATTTTCATAAATTTCAAATATTTTCAATTAGTTTCACTTTAAGAAAATTGTGATTTTAAAAAAGTACTTAAATTTATATGAAACAGTAGAATTAAAAAAAAAATATTGAATTTAGTCAAGTTTCAATGATTTTCTTATAGACTTTGAAACGAATCTCACTTAAAATTAACCTTACTTAAATTCATTAGAT